AAATCTTTCAACAATGAAAATCTTTCTCATTGTTTTCCACAGCTGATATTTTTTGCAGGTTTTTTCTTCAAAGTGCACATTTTTTCCTTGGCTGATTTAATGGAATATTAGGAAATAGCAGTCTAGACACAATTAGTTTGATGTGATGTTTTACTGAGAAGTTTTAGTCTTCTGATCCTCATGAATTAGAGAAAAATGAACAGTCTGGTTATATAAATTATTTCAGTGCTAAAACCATTTTCTGATAATACCTTGCCACTGCAAGAGGAGGAGTACTTTTCAATATACTTTATTTCATTTCAGATTATTGAGAATCAGTTTTATACAGTTAAAAAATGGAGCAACCACAGTAACAAAAACTCTACTACAAAAACAAATAGAAGAAAATGCATTCTGGCACAAAGAAATTCCACATATGTAGAAACCTCATAAGAATTGCTAACTTGATCTAATACTTGTATCTCCCTCAGAGAATGCTTTACTTAAAAATGATACTAAAAGGGCCAAAGTAAAAGCACACGAGCTGAGCATCACCAAACCTGATCTCCAGTACAGAAAATGCCAGGAGTCACCTCTCTACACAGAGACCTAATGATGGGCACGGTTTCCCAAACATAAAACCGAAGGTACTTACAGGAAAAGAATTTTTATATATATTTGAAGCACACATAGGTTTACTTTAAATATAGAACACACATTTATTGATTTTCCTATGCAATTCACCTTTGTTTGCAAATCTTAGGAAATCCAAACCTCTGATCAAAAGTTTTAAGGTGAGCTGTTCACTGTTGCTGGAGCCTGGTTTATTATACATAAACCAAACTGTTGTATACAGAATCACCAGTAATACATACCTCCTCTAAGTTAGTGTCTCTGTATTCTTATCAGAAAGCAGGATCTCAACTAACTATTCCAACTCCTACTAAAGTCTAACAGAGAATGGTGCCACTTATTAAAAGAACAGCAAAATAATCTTTAGATAAATTATACTGATATCAGTTAAGAATACATCAAGTCCTCTTCCAACTTCTATTTAGATTAACTAATCTCATGCTGAAAAGAACAGACATATGCATAATTTCCCCATTTTATAGTTGCTAAAATGAAAGCAACTTTAAAACATAGACGTATAAGACTGCATTTTCCAAATTCTACACTAGTGCTTATAAAAAGTACTAAGGGTATTGAAAAACACAATACATTATATATAATTATGTATTATTGCCATTGAGTTACTGCTTGTGAAGATTAGAAACTCTATCATAACAACTGTTTTTGTTGAATTGGTTTTATAACTTAGTATTATGTGTTATATACACATATATGTGCATATAATCAATACATATATAATCAATATCTGTATATAATCAATATCTCAATCAATATGTGTATATAATCAATATGCATATAATCAATATGTATATAATCAATAATCAACTAAAGCCAAAGCAAATATTTGTTAAAGATTCTACATATGCCAAGTAGTTCATGTCAAACACATATTTTAGTCTTCATAAACTCCTGATGTGTAGGTTTTATTTGGGGGCAGTATTGTGAATAAAACAATTGTGCCAAGGTTATTAGGCCATTGAGGTACAGGGTGTCTGTTAGAATACAGGCAGTCTAATTTGAAGTATCAACTCTCACAAATCACAATCGTCGATTGCCTCGAGCAGGCCCCAGTAACGTCTCCTTCATCCTAGCCCTGAGATTATATTCAAGGCTCTTTAGGAGAATGAGACCCATCACTGTTACTGGTATTTGGCATATTGGGTACGCCACGGGGAGTTTGCCAGACTGTGGCCGTGTGCTTCCGGGAGCTGGGTCTTAGCTGTTGATGCATTACAGGGAACTGGGGGTCAGTTGGTGGGTGTGACCCCTCCCTACTGGAGGATGGAGGATTTGGGTGGAGGATGCTCAGCCCTGATCCGAGCAGGCTTGGAGATCTCAGCCCCGGGACCCGCATGCCTTTGTTCCTCTGCTGGTACCTTCATGTGTGTGGAGAGTGGTCTCAGCATGGTGGTGGCTGGTCCTGGAGGTCTTTGTCTGCCAGAGCCCTGGTCGGGGCAGGGAGGAAAGCTCAACCCGCTCCCCTCCAAGGGGAAGCAGTTAGATAGTAATGATTATATTCGAAGTAAAAAGTCATGATGAATGCTCCCATGCCTATTGGGTTACAAGGAAAGCTAGATATATTTGTCAATCATTATAGCACTAAAATATCTCATCTCCTAAAATTTTGTTCCATAAATTGCAAGATTTAAAATTTGTAAACATATATAAAATTATGAAAAATCCTCATTTTACTTATTATTTTTAATTTTTTATATAATACAAAGTCAAAAAATGATTTTTTTTTTAAAAAATCTCATTTGAAGGAATTTTTTTAGGGGCTTAAAAGGCAGTTTACGAGAGAAATGACTCTGAAGAGGTAAGAAATACCACTCTGGAATCAAGCTGGAAAGTCAATATTATATCTAACTGATTGACTTATAGATTCAGGTTTTATTTGGGGGCAGTATTGTGAATAAAACAATTGTGCCAAGGTTATTAGGCCATTGAGATACAGGGTGTCTGTTAGAATACAGGCAGTCTAATTTGAAGTATCAACTCTAAACCCTATATTTTATGATCTCTCTTGACTTAGTAAAATAATATTGCCAATTTCATTTTACTTCTTTTCAAACTTTTGTTCTTTTTGTGTGTGCACATATTATAATTGTGGCATGCTGCAGATTAAAAATAAATATTTACCAGAGAACTCTATCAATATATACTAATAATGTTTCACTTATTTTCTATGATCTGCTGCTACCTATTGATTGATCATTTAGTGGGATGATCAGAACTACCAAAGTATTTTTCAGAAATAATTGCATAAAGCTTCTTTTTTTGTGTGCTGTCCTTAGTAACTTGTCCTATCTGGAATGTTCATAGATTTCCTTTATCTCCCTTTCATTTTTGATGTGCAAACTACATTGGTCTTTGTGACCCCAGATTAACAAAATAAATAAGACTTGGGAGAAATGAATAGTGTCTCCTTTTTTAAACTATTCTCTTGACATATTCGATATGCCAAACACAGTAGCAACAAGTCTTACGATGGAGATGTTACTGGGCCTGCTCGAGCAAATCGATGAACAATGGGAGGACAGTGCTACAGTGCTACTATTCTCTTGAAAGGCAGGTAAATTCCATAACTTTGTCACAGTCTATAACTGATGGAATAAAGATAATCACCTTCAATTTATGGGGCTGTGGAGACAGAGCAGTGGGGAGGGTGCTTGCCTGGCACATAGTCAACATGATTTTAATCTCTGAGATTCAGCATGGTCTCCCAGGAGTGATCCCTGATGCGGAGGATGGAATAAACCTTGAATACTGCTGGGCATTACTCAAATGTGTGTTTGTGCATGTGTGTGGGCATACATACACACACACACAACCACACACACACACACACACCCCAAATCTGTTGACTCCAAAATAAGAGCTTCAATATGGCATACTGTTACACTAAGAGGAATTACAGAAACAATGCTGATTCTAGACTTTAGTCTTTATTGAGATCAAGTATTAAACTTTTTCTCCCAGGAAGATTTCTAGAGAGAGATGCCTTGGAATGAATTAGACTAAAGATTCCCATTCTCTCTATTGATAGTTATCTTCACAGTTCTCAAGGCTCCATTGTTTGTGTTTATTGTGTCAAATATTTTTTTTTAGCTTACAAAATCAGAAATTTTACTTCTTGATGGATCCATACAAATATAGCATAAGCCTTTTTTTATGCTGTGTATAAAATCTTATTTTACCCTTTTGATTTTCATGGGGCAGTGCACAATTAGATTATTTTAAACACAGTAAGACCATCCTGTAAAACCGGCAAGTTTTTCAACTTTCTCTGAATTTTTTCTTATTTATTCAATGCTCATCATTAAGTTTTAGTGTAAGACTGAGAGCAAGCAGTCATAACCTGGTCTGCTTACATCTAGGATTTTCAGCTACTTAAGAAATATTTAACATGATTCCACCACCCGCCCCCCCCCCCCAGCAAATTCTATTCAAAACAACAAAAAACTTCTCCCTTTGATGTTTTCAGTTGCCAGTTGGCATTTCTGGATCTGAATTCAGTAATCTGCAAACGATGGTACCACACATGGAAAACTCTGCTAATGGGGTGTGTGGTTTCACAGAATACATTATAGCCCAGTGTGGGCCCAAACCCCCAACTCAAGTTTGCTTAGACCCAAACCTCTGATTCTCTTTTTCACCATCTCTGTCAACGGACTATAGAATACTTTTTATAGGGTCAAAAACAGAAAGAAGGAATCGTTGACAACTGTAAAAGGATTGAGAAGCAAATGCCTTAGGAATATTCAGACATTAAATCACTTTGTGTGTGTGTGTGTGTGTGTGTGTGTGTGTGTGTGTGTGTGCTAGAGACGAAACCCAAAGCCTTATATTCTACCACTGGGCCAAAGCACTTTGAAAAAAGAACCATATTCTATGGACTCAGGGCTACTGGAATCATAGAATACAAACAGGGTTAATTAAGTTCCCTCAACTGTATTTCTTATATACAGATGCATGATTTAAGACAGACAGAAGCTAGAACATTCATATGTGCTGGCGATTTAAACAACTGGAAGAAGACTGTGAGTGGGCTTCTAAGGCCATTATTGCTAAAAGGATAAAAGGCCCTGCTTTGTACAAAACCCTGCTGCAAATGTTAGGGGTAACATTATCAAATGTTAGTTCAAAAACAAGAAAGAAGAGTCCCCAGAGGGAAAAAAAAATCATTTGCGCAACAATTCTGTCAAACTGTGCTAAGTTTACACCAAGGTCAGGACAATTAATTTATCTCATCTATCAGCTGGAATTTTAGAAAACACCTAGCAAGAAAATAGTTCTGAAAAGTGCTTTCTCTTAAGTTCTTTGGTACAATTTGGTCAACTTGATAGCAATGCATTCAGTACTTTTAAGGCATGTGCGTCGATAAAAATGCACTCAGAATGGTTAGAAATCCACCAGGGAAGAATAAATTCTACTTGTAACCTCACAGAAAAAGAATTCTAAAACTTTACTTGTGTTTCTGTGGCAAAGATATCCATTCCAGGGTCAGAGAGATAGTGCACACGCACAGTGCTGACCTTGCATGCAGCTGGCCCAGGTTTGATCCCTGGCATTGCATATGGTCCCCTGAGAACCGGCAGGAGTGATCCCTTAGCACAGAGCCAGGAGTGAGCCCTGAGAACAGCTGGTTGTGGCCCAAACTTCTGACCTGCCCCGCTCCCAAAAAGATGCTTATTCCAACTATAAGAGCACCTCTAGCCAGATAAATATTAAAGAAATATTATATAAAGCATCCCTTTGATTAGAATAACTGTATTCATTATACATATATATATATATATTTTACATATGAGAGTCAAGCTTTAGCTTGGAAAAAGAATAATTTCGAATTACACATGTGCCTTTTGATTTAATGAATGTCCAGATGTCAGTTATAGAATGTTATTGGGTTATGCTTTTAACTCAGGAAAGAGTTAATCTTCCTCCTGATGCATTTCCTCGATTTCTTTATCCCAGTTTTCATCTTTCATCTTTTTTTTTCCTGTTTCTGCAACTACTTCGTATTCTTGAAGTTCCTGCTGTAGTTCCTTTTCCCAGTCTGCGGAATCTTCTTTCAGGGCCGCTGTCTCCGCCTCCTTCTTCTCTAGCACGGGCTGCTCCATCTCCTTCTTCAGGTCCTCCTGATTGAAGCTGCACGCGTGGAAGGCATCGCTGACAAACTCAGCCACGTCAGGGCTGGTAGAGATCTCCTCTTCATTCTCTTGTGTTTTAAGCTGAGATTTGATAACAACAGGCGGTGTTTTGGGCCTTACTGACTCTGTGAGCGGCGCCGCATACTCTCCGCTTTGGGCCTTCTTCCCGTCTTGCTTGGCGGCCTGCAGCTGGGCGGCCAGGGCCTGTTAGCTGGGCCGACTGCTTAATCAGGGAGACGTGGTAAAGGTAGTTTCTCCAGAAGACTTCTTCCTTCACTAGTTTGGGCACGAGTGCAAAACTCATCTTGCTCAGCAGCTCGTCCTCCTGCAGCATGATCAGGGCGACCGGGTACATCTGGTCGAAGTCAAAGGTTAACTGCACGCCAGCCAGATGGTCACGAAGAAAATTCCTCTTGTCCGTAGATAATGCCAGAATCTGCTGCTGAATGGTCTCTTCCTTGTGACTATCAACCCACCGGGGCAGCATGGATTCTGACTTCTTGTTATGCTGTTCTTCCAGGAATTTTTTCTGTTCCTTCTGGAAATCACCTAGGATGGTCTTGTCAATGATGCCATCTATCCTTCCTTCTTCTACTAACTTTTTGATGGTCTGTGCTGTCTCAGTAACAGAGTCCGTGATCATCTTTGTTGTGACCGAAGCGAAGTTAAATAGACAGCTTCCAAGGCCTTTGGCCTGGTAAAGGATGTCCTGGTCCACCTCTGGCCGCGGGGGCTGTCCAGGGAGCGCGGCTTGGGCGGGACATATCCATCGGGAGGTTCCGCCCCCTTGGATGGCCCGTTCAAGCCCAGTCAGCTGCCCAAACCCCAGAACACCCCGCCTGTCCAGACGCTGCGGTCACTGGCAGGTCACCCCCCGAGACTCCCTCCCACCAGCTCCCCAAAGATCAGGTCCCAAATCTTTTTTGTTTTTAAAATGTCTTAATTTCTATGTGATAAAAGCCCATCTAAAACGTCTTCTTTCAACTCAATGACATTTTGGAAAAAGCAAATCTTTGCAGAAAATGAAAAGATAAGCCAGTGGTTACCAAAGACTTTAAAAAATTGGAGGAATGAAAAGACAGAGTATAGAAGATTTTGGGTGATATATCATTGGTATACTGAATTGCATTTCCTTGATACTAAGATAACTCTTAATAACAGTGAGACTATAAAATATCAGAATGAAAATAACCAGTGTGGGAATGGACATAAAAAAAGGAAACTTCACCCATGGCTGGCATAGTGTTGACAAAAAGGTTCAAACTTTTTGGAAAACTACGGACAATTTTCATATAACTAAGAGCTGTGCTTCTATGCATGATCCAGAAATTCTACTTTTTGGCATTTGCCACAAGGGCCCATAATCTCTATTTAAAAAAGTTATTTGTACTTCTGTGTTCATTACAGCACTATTTACAATAGCACAAATCTGGAAAACAACTCAAATGTCTAGGAACAGATGGCTGGATAAAGAAATTGTGACATATTTACACAGATATATGTGTGTTATGATATATACTATCTAACATATATTGATACATGATATAATATATTATATGCTATATAGCATTATATATTATATACCAAATGCAAATACAATAATACCTGAGTATAGGAAGAGACATGTAATTTGCTGTGCTGTGGGTAGCTCTAGCGAGCATTACGTTGAATGAAATAAGTGAGGCGTGGAACAGATAAAGAATGATCTTTTTCATATGTGAGGAATAAATAAACATAATGGTCCAGAGCATTGTACAGGATATAAATCAACTGTCTTGTAGAATTTAATTATAATTCTTTCAGGTTATGAATATTATATTTATGAGAAAATGTCATCTAAACATGTTCTCATTCACAGAATGGACAGAACCTAGAATGAAAATCACTGTAAACTATGTGCTTTGGTTGATTAAGGTTTGCTACAGATTAATTGTACAATTGTAACAAATGTACAATTGGTAGGGGTATGTTCATGACAGATGAGATCAGTACATATAAAGATAAACTTCAGTGGTAAATGTATGTACCACCTACTCAACTTCGCAATGAACCTAAATCCTCACTAATAGTCTGGTAAAATTTGTTTTCTTTAACAAAGGGTTATACATTACCCATTTACAAACAGCCTTAAATTTTTTTATTGTCACTTTCCTAGCAATACTAGTTAACATGCATGTTTGGGAATTGGAAAATATCTTCAGTGTTAGGTAAGTGATTAAAATAAAAGGACTATATTTTTATTGAGTTCTACTGTCTTTTTCTTGAATTAACATATTATTTGTTCAACAAATATTTATATTTATTATATATCATATAGACAGACAAAAATTGAAATATATATGCATATATGTAATGTGCTTGAAGTTCTTGTAGGCTCTAAGAATAATGATAAACTGGGGTTGGACAGATAGCACAACAGTTAGGGTGTTTCTCTAGCATGCATCTGATACAGGTTCAACACTCGGCACTTCATATGATCTGTACTCTCCATAAGTGTTCCCTGAGTGCAACGCTGGGAGGAGAAATTGAGCACATCCAGATGTAACCCCCAAAGCAAAGTATATGAGCAAAATGAGGTTATTTTTACTGCAGAAAATATAGTAAAAGACTACATGGTATATTCAATTCCAGTAACAAGTACTATATAAAAATAGTTTTGTGCACTGCAGGATCATTAGGAAAGTTCAATAAAAAATAGTGAATAAAAATATGGTTTTTCAGAGAGCAGTAAGATTCAAGTTACAGACAGAGGTGATATTTCATTTTCCATAAAAAAGAACTATTAATTTCAATATGAAATAAGAACTCAGTGAAGCAATGTGCACATGTAAGAAGTTTAACATTTTATCCTTAAGCTACAAGATGGTACTCAATATGTGTTAAATAAACAATGCATAAATTACAGAAATAAAATATGCAATATAGTAGAGACAACCTTATTTCTACTATTATTGTATGTAATATATAATTGTGAGAGAAATAATTCGAAGTTCCAACCTCCGTCGACGACTGAGAATCAGGGACACTGTCTCATTTGCCAAGGCATCAAAAATCAAATGGGCTGGACACGTAATGCGATTTGGAGATGACCGCTGGACTAGAACTGTTACTGACTGGATTGCATGGGACATCAAAAGGTCGCGTGGTCACCCACCTACGAGATGGTCAGACTTCTTCATCAAGATCCTGAACTATTGGTTTGAGGCTCTTCGTGTTCCTGAAGCAAGCAGACGCCACTGGGCTACACTAGCACATGATCTGATATATGATATATGGAACAAATGGAGATGTTACTGGTGCCTACTTGAGCAAATAGATGAGTAATGGGATGTCAAGTGATCAAGTGAGTATATAATTATATAAATGCATTTATATATTGTCTATTTCTTTGAATCAAGAGTTCTTGTTGACCTTTGCTAAGTCAATCGAGTTGAAAACATGTTAACAGGGCTGTATCTTTTGGCAGGATATTTTTAGGGGGCAAACAATGTTTCTCAGGAACCCCAGGTTCAACTCCCTGAGATTCTCAGTCATGTAGAAGGCAGTCCAATGCTAAAGTTCGAGTGGCGCTGTCACACCCAGGGACAGTGTCACACTCGGTAGTGCTCAGGACTTCTGGGACCACATCTACTGATTCTCAAGGCCCACAGAAGACTGACAATCAAATTGGAGTCAGGGATATGCTGTAACCGCTGAGGTTGTGTCCCCCTCCCCATTACCTATCTCAAGTTTAGAATAGAGTGAATTTCCAGTATAAGAGAGCAACCTGGTCAAATTCATTTCCAAAGGTTAAGATATGATCATCTGCCTTCTTGTTGAACACTGATTAGAGACCACCTTCTGCTTTCAATAGCCTCTTAGTAATCTTCACCTGTAGGCATTTTCAGCATGCTTACTCATGTCAGCTCACCAAGAAGAATCCCTAAAGCATGTCTGATTACAAGACACGGTTCTATATGATGTACCATAATCACAGACTTACCTTTGTCTTATTCTAGGATTTAGAAGTTAGTCATAAATTAAAGCACTATGCAAGTGTATGGGCTGGAGTGATAGCAAAGAGGGTAGGGCGTTTGCCTTGCAAGCGGTCAACATTGGTCGACCCGAGTTTGAGTCCTCCACCCTTCTAGGAGAGCCTGGCAAGCAACCAAGAGTATCTCGCATGCACGGCAAAGCCTGGCAAGCTACCCATGACGTATTTGATATGCCAAACACAGTAACAATTTCACAATGGAGGTGTTGCTGGACCCGCTTGAGCAAATCAATAAACAATGGGAAGACAATGACAGTGACAGTGATGCAAGTGTATGAACTTCCTGGGACACCTATCATTTAAGCTGTTCTAAATTCTGTATATCACATTGATTTATTAATTATAAACAACTAATAAACATACGAATAGAACAGAACACACTGAACACTGTCCTCCCGTTGTTCATCGATTTGCTCGAGCGGGCCCAGTAACATCTCCATTTTTTGAGACTCGTTACTGTTTTTAGCATATCAAATATGCCATGGGTAGCTTGCCAGACTCTGCCACTTGGGTGAGATACTCTCGGTAGCTTGCCAGGCTCTCTAAGAGGGGTGGAGGAATCGAACTCAGGTCGGCCATGTTGGCTGCATGCAAGGCAAACGCCCTACCACTGTGCTATCGCTCCAGCCCAACATACGAATAAATGACATTTAAAAATAGAAATTCTATGAATTGTTATATAAGGGAAGGAAAGCTTGTGGTCTCGTTTACTGAATACCTCAGACCTCTGGTAGCTGAAGTTACATATCTAAGTGTTCCGAAGCTCTTTTCAGGGAAAACAAATGAAAATGAAGATGTATCTTACAACTGAGAAAGCACTTTTAACCTCATGAAAGAGAATAAAAGACACATGGGCAACTTTTATTCCAAAGCAAAAGGCATTCTCAGATCTAATGAAATGTCATTTTTTAAAGGCACATAGCCTTTTCATAGGGCATTTTTTGGACCACTAAAATAAAGTGTGGGAGTGGGGAGGGGGGTCATTGTGGTTAATAGGAAGAACTTGGATAATGCAGAGATGCAAAATGCTGTTAGAATTACTAAATAGCAAAACATAAAATAAAAATTAAAAAACTGTGATAAAACATCTATTTTTTTAACCTAAAGATTTTTTTTAACCTACATAGAAATTATCAAAAAAGTATAAGAAACTCTAGCTTTCAAGAGGAAAAAAAAACCCTTAATGCATGCTGACAACTAGATAACGTGACTGCTCCACATTGGATCTAGAAATCAATAGAAACACTAGAGAAGAGAGAAAACTATCAGGTAAAATATTTTTGAAAATTAACTAGTTATTTTAATCAGAAAATATGTATAAGTTTACATACACATACATAATTAATACTTTTTCTTAAAGTATTATAGACTTGGGAGCTGGAGCGATAGCACAGTAGGTAGGGTGTTTGCCCTGCATGAGGCCGACCTTGGTTGGATTCCTCCGTCCCTCTCAGAGAGCCCTGCAAGCTACCGAGAGTACCCCACTTGCATGGCAGAGCCTGGCAAGCTCCCCATGGCGTATTCCATATTCCATATGGTGTATTCCATATTCCATATCCACAACAGTAACAAGTTTCACAATGGAGACATTACTGGTGCCTGCTCAAGCAAATTGATGAACAACAGGACAGTGCTACAGTGCTACAGTGCTTTATAGACTTGGGGAGCATAGAGATAGTAAAAGGAGGAAAGAACTTTCCTTGCATGTACGATCCCTGGCACCCCTTACTCTCCCCTGTTCCCACCAACAGCAACCCCTAAGGGCAGAGCCAGGACTATGTCCTAAGAATACCTGAGCCAGGACCAAAAACAAACAAACAAATAAATAAACAAGGTATTATAGACTTAAACTAGGGGGAGAAAAGTTAACTTTTAGATTGAAATGTAGACAAGTATTTCTGATATGGGTAAGAAAGTAGTTTTGTTCATCTGTGTGTTATTAACAATAAGAAAAGTACTTTCACTATTAATAAAGCTAAACGTCTGGCAACTTCCAAATAAACAACACAACATTCTAATGAACATTTGCACATTAAAAGATATCATGAAGACTGTGAAGAAGTTAAACTGCAATGAGTAGCTATTTTTTTTTATGTACAAATGAATAGAGGATTAGTCACTAGGGTATATAAACAACTCTTTAAAATCAATAAGGCAAATAACTCAAGAAAATGCATGTTATAAAGTATTAATATACATTTAAGATTAAAAAATATCCTTTTTGGCTTTGTTTTTTATTTGGCCACATACAATTATGCTCCATGTTATATTCCTGGTGGTACTCTGGGGACTATATTTAGTGTCAGGGACTAAATCTAGTGGCCATGTGCAAGGCAAGGGCCCTACTCCCTGTCTATCTCTCTGGTCAAAGAAACCATTGTTCTAGATAAAGAAACCATTATCTAGAACAGTAAAATATTGAAGTCAAAACTTCCCATTATCACAGGGCTGTGACTAACTTTGTGCAAAGTCTCTTCTCTTTCTGTTTCCCAAACTTCAAAGAACTGTCTAGGGTTAAAAAAAGCAAAAACTAGACCAGAGCATTAGTATAGTGGATAAGTTACTTGCCTTGTATGTGGTCTATTGGACTTAACACCGAGAAGCACATAAGGACTACCAAGTACCACCAGGAGTAATGCCTTGACACTGACCTAGAAGTAATACCTAAGCATAACCTGGGGTAGTTTTCTAAATTTGAAAAAAGAAAAGAAAAGAGAAGAAAAAGGCAAAACTGAGGCCAGCGAGATAGTGCAGCAAGTGAGGATTTTTCCTTGAAGGCTGCAGACCTGGATTTGGTACCTGAACACCATCAGACATGATCCCTGATTGGGCGGGGGGTGGGGTGGGGGAGGGGGAAGGGATAGAGAAATACGATAAGGAAAATATAAGGGAAAGGAAGAAAAGAAAGAAAGCAAAAAAGATTGGTTTAAAGATTATAGTCTAATGATGTGAGTTTTTCTACAGGAGTACCTACATTCTCAAATTATTTTCATTTATCCTATGCTGGTTACACACTTTCAAGCTTAAATGGTTTCCATCTACTACAACTCTCTTTTCTAGTCAGTTGTTCTAATTTTTAAAGAGGATTGGGTAACTAAATTATTATATCACCATTTAATAACAGCACATGCGGTAGAAGAGTAGAGAATGTAAGAATCTAGTCACTAATATCAGAAGAGTGGTTATTTCTGTTGAAACAAAATATGGCAAACAATTCAGGCATAGTGAAGTTCATTGCTGCATATAGCTTTTTGTAGCTAAATATGGTCTGATAATATGGTTTTCAATACAATGATTCATGGTAACAGTAATTTTAAAGATCAAGTAACTTTGATCTTTAACAGCAACATGTGGCTGTACTAAAGTATCTAAAATACTGTTTATAAGTTCAGTCAGTTTCCTGAAACAAGACAGGGTGATGATCTTAGGATTTAAATGAGTTGAGTATAACATGAACTATCAAGAGGCATACACACTGTAATTTGTGAAATCAGAGTTTTAATTGTAAAGAGCAACTGCAGTCAGTCTCTACACTGACTAGTTAGAAATGCAAGAAAATTGCACTTCAGAAAATTTCTAAGTTTGAGAACAAAAATTTTTATACAACAGTACATTTTAAATGCAAAAGTTTCAAATGTCATTTTATTGAAATGTAATTTAAAGAATTTGACTTTGAATGGTGTTTGGAAAAATTCAGAAACAAGAATGCATTGTTGTGGAGTTCATGCCCAATTCAATCAGTTTAACCAATGGCTGAACAAACACATATAATTCTACATTCTCTAAAAAAATTATTTGCTGTCATGATTATCACATTATCCATGGTGACACTCAAATCTAAGCAAGACAAAAGTTTTATAATAAAAGATACTTGATGATTTCCAAAAGGTATTAGGAAATGAATATAAAATATTAGTTATCTTGTGCATCTAATGATAATACATCAAAATATTTAACCTAAAACATATTTGGCAGTATTTCAAGTTATTTGAATAATTTTCCCTACGAAAACAATCAGATTTACACAAAGTCAAACCCTAAAAGTAAAAAAAAAATATTAAAAATCTAAGGAAAGTGACACACTTAGACCAAATTCAAGACAAAACAGAAACCAGAAACTGAGAAATAAACTGCATACCTGAGTGATTAAATTATATTTAATACTGAGGACACATGTAGATCATGTAATAATGTACTTTTAAATGAGCTCTTTTTGCATGTGTTGGGTGCCACGAATACAATGGAGAAGGAGTCATGCTGCCACATTTTCCCAAGCTACATTTAGGAAACCTCAGTTTAAAATATTTGAAGTAGTAAAAATATTTGAAATAGTAAGATAACCCTTCCTTGGGTCCTGAATTCATAACAGATCAAAGACACGCAGATGCCTAAACAGTATGGGGAAATTCACCACCACAAAAGGTTACATTATACTAGGGTATGATGAATTCATTTGCAGGTTTGCAAAAACAAAACAAATATGTCAGAGCAAAATATAAAACAGGACAAAAATAACCAACAAAACAAACAAAAAAACATCTCTGAAACAGGGGAATAGCTTGGAACATTACCCCGATCAAAGTCTACTGTTTCACTTTGAATATTTAACTTGACATGGCAGCATTTCAGATCAGGGTATCAAAGTTTCTGGCACTGAATAACTCCTCAGTATCATCATCAGAGTTCTGGGTCTTATGTGGAAGTTAGGGAACATCACATAAAGTCCAAATCATGCTATTATAAACTTCTATTATTAATTATATTCTCTAAGAAGACAGATAATGAAATCACACATAACCTTTTCAGGATGATAAGCCTGACATAATAAGAAATAGATTGACTCCTGGAGGAAAAATGAGCATTAGGCTAAGTTCTTTAGAATTGTACTTTTTTCATTATCCAGCAAGTCTATCTACCTCTTTTCATCTCCGCAAATGTTTTGTCAATAAAATAATAATTGCTTGAGACTTGGCAAATAAAAGAAAAAAATTATAAAATGGATGAATTAATCAAATTAGCTACAAATAATCTACTTAAAAGTGAATCTGAAACTTTAAATAGATAGTACTTAAACTGTATTGTAGAATATTAATGACTATTTACTATGAGTTTCATTCTTTCCATATCAATGATACTCATGCCATTACTTATCAAGAGATGGAGAGAAATGTGAACTCTGAGGTTCCTTTGGTATCATTTAAGATTATGGCGCTGCTTGTTTGTATTTAATGTAAAATTTTTTACGCTTAATTTAATGTAAAATTGTTGAGTCTCTGAACTCTAGCATCAAGGAAAAAAAATCAAACAACGTTTTAACCATCTTTGCTAAATGGACAGTACTCAGAGATAAATGTAAATTCATGAATTTATGTAAATTCATAAATGCATGGAATACAGTGATTTATAAATGTATAAATTCATAGAATGCATATAATTCCAGAGTTCATAGATCCTTTAAAGCTCATGTTTAAACTTCCCTAGAGCTTTCTAAACTGTAGGCTAAGAACCTAGAGGTCAGAGAGTCATAATTCTCCAAGTTTCAGAAACATTTTTCTTCTCTAACGAAGTTCCTCTTGCAATGACTTGGCAGAAAGATGCTCAAACACTGAGGGCAAACATGCTCCATTCACTCTGGAAACTCTCAGCTAAAATTCAGCGTAAACACATGAATAAATTTTTAAATTAGGTAGCAGTGTCAGGAAATGTTCAGGATATTTGGGGAATGGAGAAAGAGTACAGCCAGTAAGGTGCTTGCCTTGCATGTGACTGATCCGGACTCAATCCCCTGCATTTTAAATTGTCCTCAGAGCACCACTGAGACTGACTCCTGAATCCAGAGCCAGGAGTAACCCCTGAGCATCATGGAGTGTGGGCTAAAAACAAAATGAACAAAAACAAACGGTTCAGGAATTTTACCTACCTTTTTAATCATTCCTTTTTGAAGAACATAACAAACAAACACAAAACACTACCTTGTGTTTGAAACCAAATTAAATCAAGATATTTATGTTGCTTTGATACTGTGATGATTATGATTTGTGTTTGGAGTATAAGTTCTATTTCCTATCATGTGTTGCTGTGAATAATTAATATTTCAGCATCTTTGTTTATAGAATAGTAATATATAATAAAAAGTAATATTAAGACCTATTTATTTGTCAAAAAATTGTGAAGATGGTGACTGATATTTCTAAAATAAGTAACAATAGTGCCAGACTTCTGAGCTGTGATAAATGACAACTGTCATCTAAAATGTGATTAGACAGATACAATATGGCTTTGCATTCCAAACTTTAATCACATACACGTTTTGTCATAGCCACAGGCACTTATCTATATTTTTTCTTTATGTCACACTTTTTATTAAACAGCCTTTGTGAAATATAAAATTAATCTCAAGGTAAGCTTAGTGGGCTGTTTTATTTCCAAACAACATTAAAACAGAGTCTTCTATTAATTTTTTTCAGTCTTACTATTCAGTTTAAAAATAACATTAAAGCTATGCTTCAGTAAACACAGAGCTAGAAGTCATAAAGCCTTAGCATAAATACTATCTGAGATTCGAATTTTCCTAGACTACAAAAGCAAAACTAGATACAGGTGGTAGGACTCTGATGAAGCAGCCAGGTAGCAGTATCCTAGGAATCTGAGTTTCAGCCTACAAGATGCAGCTCCTAGAGCGGTGAACTAAAAGGTTGTACTGATCTCACAGTTGCACAGAAACTAGCTTATGTCATCTTTAGCATGTACCCGTTGCAGCATTTTAAAATTAAAACTAATAGGTAAAACATCACTTATAGAAATAAAGCATAAGCTAACGGTTGTAACATTACTGTCAGTTGACATTAGTTTCAAAGGCTCTATGTTGTTGATGTACTCATAAAAATCAGTTATATTGTCATCTTTAGGAGTTAAAACTCAAGTTTTTAAATCTGTGAAAGACCTGAAAGGTCATTTCATTGCAGTTTATCTTTTATTCAACATTAACTCTGGAACAGACCGTGACAATCCTTTCCAACATGTTCCTATACAAATGATATCCACATTTTGGTATCCACATCTACATATACAACTGTATTTCAGTAGGCTATGAAGGAAACAAATCACATATTATGCAAGTCAGTTAAATAAAATTTAGAGATAAATATATATTAACCTAAAAGACACACACACACACACACACACACACACACACACACATACTGCTCTGCACAATAAGTTCAGTAACTACTTCTAGTTTATATGCTAGAGAAACAAAATGGCTTTTATCGTGTAACAGATGTTTCTTGATTGTCTACTAGTCCCTGGGAGTTTTCAAGGTATCAGTGATAAGGTTGTGAAGGATATTAAAAAAAGTAAGTGTTAAAGTGAAGTCTTCATATTCAAGCATGAGCAAAAACAATAATATTTTTTAAGCACTCATTATACACTGAAAAAAGTGTCTTACTCTTGAGCATAGTCCATTCAACATATAAATGAAGCAAGTAGTACAATTAAACATTAGGCGTTTTTTTGCAGGTAGACAGATCAGGGTTTGAATTCTGGTTCAGTCTTCCAAACTAGTCAGATAGACTAGGATTTTATTAATGTTTGTGATCACTGATTCCCTCATTTCTCAAGTATGAGATGAATATTCCTCACAATATTGAGTTCATTACTTAGCAACAACCATTGATTTTATTTGCTTCTGTCTTAGTTATTGTTCCAGGCATTAGTAAATAAAAAAAAGTGAACAAGTTAATCTTACATTTTAATATGTGGATGAGAATGAATGTATCTAAATCTTATTTGTGGGCTGTTAATGCAGTGAATTCATT